GTAGTCTGCTGAATAAAAATACTTACCTGAGTTTCTAAAAGAAACACAAAAGCTGAGAGCAGGCAGGATAAAGGTTGAGTGCTGACTGGGCAAGCTGGTGGTCACGTTCCACAGGGCTCCCTGAGTAACACTGACTTCTGGACAATGCATTAGAGGTGGCAGAATTTGCCTGTTGCTGTTACTTTCAACAGATGCCATCTGTAAGGTCCTTTGCCCCCAAATGTCTTAGAAGCTTAAGTAAAGACAAGAACTATTTTGCTTCCTTGCTCAGAGTTCGAGAGAAGTGTTAAATGCAGGTTAACATCTTACAGCTTTCTTTGCACCCTGTAGAGCCAGCTAGTTTGCCAACCATAAAGCTGTATGTAGGCCACTGGAAAATCCGTGCCGTTTCTATGGAAGACCCAAATTTCTCCATTTGGAAACCATGCGGGATGAGCTGCTGCTCTGCTCCTGAAAAGATATCACTAAATAAGAGCATGATGAGTGTCTCAAAACCCACTGGCACTACAATAAAACACAGTGGCAGAATAATTGTTGGTAAAACGGTGGTAATGCTAAATTCCCACAAAGGGCTACTGTAAGAGTCCAACAGTAATTATGTGGTGCTTCTAGAAATGTCTTACTCTAGGAGCTCCAAAGAGTTATTTCTGACACCGAGGAAGAACACAGGTCTGACCCAAATCCCATCCCTTGAATCTGTGCTCCCTGGCACACATCCTAGAATACCCTGTACTCTCTACCCACCAAACCCCACCTCAAGGGATTGACATATCTTCCCCAAATGAAAACCAGTAACTATACAGCTGTCCTTTACCAAAGGGGGCAATCTAGGACCCTCTGCAAATACCATTATCCATGGATGCTCCAGTCTTTTACATAAAATGGTATAGTATTTACATATAACCTATGCACATCTCTTATATAATTGAAATCATCTCTAGATTACTTACAATACCTAACTCAATGCCTACAAATCACTTCTTTTGCATAAATTCAATGTAGTATTCAGCATGTGGCAAATTCAACTTTTGCTTTTAGGAACTTTGCGGGTTTCCCCTCTCCTCCAAATATTTTCAATCTGTACTTGACTGAATATAGGGATGTGGGACCCACAGATGGGGAGTTAACTGTACTCATCTTCACCATCAAATACACCATTAGACGGGAAGAGACTAGAAGTCACATTCTGCTTTTGGACAAGAATACCTTTGTGACCTGTACGTCACATAACAAGTAGGCTGAGGTCAGCTAACATAGGCTGTACATCAGGAAAGGACAGCAGCTAAAAACCCCAAAGTGAGGTGCCTGATGGCCAATCCGGCCTACGAGAAGCTGCAGTGCACTATCACCTCTGAGACATCCATGTCCGAGGAAATGGCCCATTCACCAAGTGAGGCAAGGATCACTAAGAGCAAGGCAGCAGGCTCACAAAGGCAGCTGGGCCACCTGGGGAACACCTTTTGTGTTCATAAGCAACACTTAAGAGAAATGACATCTGGTGTTGGGATCCACACTGTGTCAGGGGGAAGAAATAGGTGATCCATGCGAACATTCTCTGTTCGCAGAAAATATGGTCCACTATTGGAAATTTCATATAGGTCAGTCTATATTAAGCTGGAAAAATAATCAGCTGGATGAAAAGGCCAGCCTGCTGGACCCCATGGAGTTTACAACTGAAAAGCATAAGCTGAAAGAAGGCAGGATAAAGGTAGGTGTAAGCCATGGTCAAGTCCTACAAGGCCCACCCCTGGCAATCTACAAAGATCCCTTCTTCAGGCTGATGAAAGAGGGGGCCAGAGACAGCCAAGTGACTCTTAGGAAAACAATGGCAGTTTAATTATAATTTTAAAAAAACTAGTTCCTTTTCAATCTACAAAATTAAAAGTAAAATTCTCTCAATTTAAGCTCCTCAAAAGCTTATGATTCAAAATATTCCATACAGGTGTTTTTACCTTCCCTGATCTGGTTGTTCAGCTCCGACTGAATAGAGAAGCTCATTCCTTTACTCCTATGTAAGGAAATCAGTGTTTAACATCCCTTTTTCATGCAACTAAATCCTCCCTTACTTCCTGTCTGGGGAAAGAAGTGTGTATCAATGTCTATGCTATCTGTAAAGGCTACCAGAGACTCTTGCTAAAAGGTGGTATATCTGGTATATCCTTAGAACCCAAGGAAACCAAATAAACCTCAGCAGGACATTCCTCAGCTTAGCCAGCGGGCTCATCTCATCTCAAGGATTAAGACATCAAATTCAGTTCCTCCGTGATCCAGGGACCACAGTAAACAAGGATGAATACCTTGGGTCAATGTATCCAAATGAGTGTGGATGAAAGAAACCAAACATTCCAATTGGAAAACTTCAAAAGCAGGGGCTGGAAAATGTTTGATGGCTTTGTTGTGGGACAATGACTTTTTTTTTTCTCCATTTTTAATTTTCTCTCTTCAAATCCAAACTGCAGCAATAGACACTGACAGCTCTAGCTTCAGACTGGATACATCATCAGGAAATCATTCCAAAAGCTCTAACTAGATAACTAATTTAATACACTTTGCTTCAAGGTTTATTCCTTGGCTTGCTTCCCAGATATAAAGCATCTCTGGGCAATTATTATGCAGATGCCGCTGCAAGGACTTTAAATGGCTGCTGCTAACTTAACAGGAGATATGTTGGCATTTACCCGAGATGTGAAAAGGAATGCAAAATGTGCTAAAGAACCAAAGGCATTTGTTTTTAACAGTGAAATATGTGAAACAACTTTTAAATGTTTTCTTTTGAGTTTCAATATAAACTCTGACTAGGAAAGTTGAATATTAAACCCACTTCCTCCCTGCATTTGTGTACTAAGGAATATTCCTGTAGCATACGGCAGTAACAATGGATGAATTTCAAGGAAGCCCATGAGCTCTGATGACCTCAAAGAGACACCAGATCTATATGCTGCCCACATGAGATGTTCTAACAGTGCCCACCTTGGAGCTTAGAGATAAAAGATAAATACTGATGTTGGTTATCATGCAATAAAACAGTAACTGAGACCACTTGCTAAAACATCCCTAACAGTGGAATATACCAAGGATGGAAAAACCCCCAAGGAAAGGAAACAAATACCTTTGTGCCTATTGAGGAGCTTCTTATAATAAGGGTTATAAGCTCTATTCCACTGAAAATACATGTAATATGAATGGTTTTCTTTCCAGGACATACAACAAAACTCCAGAATCTACAAAGCTCAGATTATACTCCTTCACCGAGTCTTCAGACCTTGAAGCAGAGGACAGAGAGGAAGCCCTCCATCCCCTGATATTCTAAATACAGAGTACAACCACCACAACACCTGGCCAAGCTGAAACTGAGAGGATTCATATTCCAAAGAACTTAATGGGGAATGCGCACCTGTTAGCATGTGGTGATGAGATATCACAAAGGTCTACTTTTTCTGGTTGATTTGGTGCTCCTCCTTCATCTCTTCAGCCCAGGGGAAAAAGCAGCAATGAAGAAAGGCATATAGAACTCTCACAGCAGTCAATTCTAAGAAAAAAAAACTGCAATTAAATTTTCCTTTCTATCACATCTAGTTTTCCTTGACAACCTTTTTATTTATTTATTTTTTAGAGACAGGGTCTCTCTGTAGCCCAGGCCGGACTGCAGTGGCAAGATCACAGCTCACTGCAGTCTTAAATTCTTATCCTCCCGTCTCAGCCTCCTGAGCAGCTGGGACTACAGGTGCATGCCATCATGCCTGGCTAGTTTTTGTACTTTTGTACTTTTTGTAGAGACACGGTTTCACCATGTTGCCCAGGCTCATCTCGAACTCCTGAGCTCAAGCAATCTGCCCGCCTTGGCCTTTCAAAGTGCTGGGATTACAGGTGTGAGCCACCGCAACTGGCTGACTCATTTTTAAATTGCAGGTTTGTTCCTGGAACTGACCACTGTGGGTGTTCCATATGCCTCCCTCCGCTGCTGCCTTTTCCCCGAGCTGAAAAGACAAGGAAGTTGTGGCATCAAATTAACCAGAAAGAGCATGCCCTGTGACTTCCCATCGCCATGTGCCAATGGGTGCATATCAAAGCTGTACTCAAGAAAAAGTAGACATAGAATGATAAATCCCCCAAAATGAAGAGGAAAAATGTGCAAAACATGATTTATTGTGTATTAACCTAAGAAATTCAAAAATACACACTGACCAATGAAGCCACAGGAAGAAACTAAGAACTGGGATTGAAACTGAAGGTAGTTAATACCATAACTGACCAGAGAGTAGATTTTATGGAGAAAAGGAAAGAAGCAAAGGGTTTTGTGAATGAGAAATTCTACCATCATTCATCAAGTGGCCCAAAATTTGGACTATGGGGTCCTGAGTGGGATTAATTCTGCTCTTGCAGGCCAAAGCCTAAAGATAACATCAGCACAGTGGGGGCCACATTTGATGTGTTTCCTGGCCAGGACCCTTGCCACGTAGCTAAATGCCAAACCGCTCCCATAAATCAGCTTCCCCAACTGTTTCCCTGATGACCTTTCCAATGACTTAGTGACTGATGGAAAGATGGAACATAGCCACACCTCAACTTTCTCGTCTCCGTCCAGCATACGCATCTTATTTAAACAAAAAGCACTGATCATCAAGGCCCTGCCTGAAAAATATAATCCTCAAGGCTCTGCCCAACTCCTTTCTCTTTCTACTCTGGTCTGCTATCCTCTCTCAATCAGGGAAGAGCCTTAACTGCACATATGGCCTCAATGCCACCAGACAGGGCCCTACTGAGCAAACAGGAGAGGTAGCAGCAAATACCCAGGGTGCAGTCCCTAGCAAGGGACAAGCTCCAGAGCCCAGAATAAGGGGTGGTCAAGAAAAGCACAACACAGAGCTTCTGTTTCAGCCCCAAAGGCAGCAATTATTGCACCGTAAAGGCAATGCTGTCTTTTAGCTGTTCTACCTTTAAATCAAGCATGGGGTGGGGGGGATGCTGGGTAGGGTGGGGAGGAGAGGAGATTGCTGAGGATAAGGGCAGAAAAGAAGAGGGAAAATTGTCCATCAAGGCTCATGAGCCCAAAATATAAGAGAATCGTGTTTGTTCCTTCAGATCCTTTTCTTTATATTTCAGGATGAATTTATTTTCTTGCCATCTTTGCTTTGGACATAAACAATGTATGATGAATGAATTAAGCTGATGAATGAGCTAAGCTGATGAATTTCAAGGTTGGTTACAAATCTGGCTGCAACTTCACAAGAGATGTGCTCCCTCATGCCTCTGTCCCCAAAATGATTCACCAGGAAACATTTCCTAATACAATGCAGATCAGTCAAGATGTGGTTGAAATGAAAAGTTCTCTATTATGAGGAAAACTGCATTATAATAATTCACAAAAGTTATTCCAAAGAGGAAAAAATAAATTATCTCATATAAAATAATACATGGTATGTGTGAATAATCTTGGCTCCTGTCTTCAGAGAGCCTGCTTGCTGCCAGCCACCTGCACCCCTGTGGCGGGAGCAGATGTTGTCTGGAGGTGACTCTCCTCCTGTGGGATGGAGCTGAGTCCCTCCTCCAGGAGCTGGATTAGGGGATTAAATGAGTCTGGAGCTTTGGAGGAACTGGATGAGGACTTGGTAGACAAACTTGTATTGAGCGATGGTCTGGATCATGAACATCCTCTGCTCCCTGAGGAGCCTCAGCATCATGGGCACTTCCACCTTCTGCAAGAAAAGAGAGAAAGCACAAGGTCCTGAGACAGGAGGCTTCCCTTAGAGCATTCCTCATCCCCTCATTTCAGGAAGCACTCACCCACTGCCCATGCCCAGGTACAAGAGAAAGCAAGGGACTCTGCCCCAGCTGGGTTTTATGCATCAGTTTACACCAGCAACTGGAGAACCTGGCCATCATGTGTCACTGGTGGGATATTTCATTTTTAATTAATTTAAAATTTTCTGAGAGAGGGTCTTGCTGTGTCACCGAGGCTAGAGTGCAATGGCACAGTCATAGCTCGCTGCAGCCTTGAACTCCTGGGCTCAAGCAATCCTCATACTTGAGTCTCCCCAAGTGCTAGTGTTATAGGTGTGAGCCACCACACCTGTCCTGGTGTATTATTTTAAATACAGACTAGTCTGCTGGATGTAAGATAAAGGCTGGAGTTAGACCTGACTAGAGCTGGCTGGTACTCTTAACTCCACCACAACCCAATGACAGGATTTAAGCCATCTCAGGGGTCTTAGTTTCCTCATCTGTAAAATCAGGATAATAATCCTTTCCTCTAACAGCATTGTGGCCCTGCCCTAGACATTTTCTCAGCAATAACATGGGGTATAAAATAACATCCACCTCACAGGATCAAATGATGAAACACGTATCAAGCATTTAGTGCACAGTGAGTGCTTAATAAATATTATTCATTATTCCTTTTTAAAAATATTTTTTAAAAATTTAAAAATTTTTATTTATTTATTTATTTATTTAAAGATGGGGTTTCACCATTGTTGGTCAGGCAGGTCTTGAACTCCCGACCTCAGGTGATCCGCCCGCCTTGGCCTCCAAAGTACTTGGATTACAGGCGTGAGCCACCTCACCTGGCCCCTTTTTAAAAATTTTTTTGAGAGAGAGTTTCACTCTTATTGCCCAGGCTGAGTGCAGTGAGTGGTGTGATCTCGGCTCACTGTAACCTCGGCCTCCCAGGTTCAAGAGATTCTCCTGCCTCAGCCTCTGGAGTAGCTGGGATTACAGGCGTGTGCCACCATGCCCAGCTAATTTTCTGTATTTTTAGTAGAGATGGGGTTTCATTGTGTTGGCCAGGCTGGTCTTGAACTCCCGACCTCAGGTGATCTCCCTGCCTTGGCCTCCCAAAATTCTGGGATTACAGGTGTGAGCCACTGTGCCTGGCCTCAATATTCCTTTATTAACATTAATATATGTTATTAATGCAATAATCATCTCACAGGATTGTGGTTGTGATCAAGTGAGATAATTTAAGTGTGAACCTTTAAAATGTCAAAGTACCGTCTCTGAACACCAGTCCTACTTGGAGTAAAAGTCTTTAACTGAGAACACCTTTTTTGAGACAGGGTCTCGCTCTGTCGCCCAGGCTGGAGTACAGTGGTGCTATCATAACTCATTGCAACATCAACCTCCTAGGCTCAAGGAATCCTCCCACTTCAGCCTCCTGAATAGCTGGGACTGTAGACGCGCACCACCACGCCTGGCTAATTTTAAAAATTTTGTGTAGAAACAAGGTCTGACTGTGTTGCCCAGGCTGGTCTCAAACTCCTGAGCTCAAGCAATCCTCCAGCCTTGGCTTCTAAAAGTCTTAGAATTATGGGTGAGAGCAACTGTGCCTGGCCTTGAGTCTTAAATGAGAACATTGTGAGTATTAAATGAGATTGCCTATGTGTGAATTCTTTGAGAATATATACAATGATATATACTATCATTAATGGAAGGAAATTAAAACAGTGTAATGGGTACTTGGGCAGACCAGTGGCTGTCACAGTGTCCTCTCTGTTTACCTTCAACATGTGCATCCTCCTGGACCAGCCATGGTGGCCCCAGCACATTCACTCTGCTCTGGGAACTCTTACAGGGCAAATGACCCATGAAGTTTTCAAGGGCTAAGCAAGTGTTTAAAAGAAAATAATAAAAACTCAGCTGTATGTCTGACATTGAAACCTTTGAACCTTGAAATATAATTTCAGTTATTTTCAAACTGTGTATAGTTATAAGATGACACATGCCATCAGTCACTCTTGTCCAACACCAACTGAGGAATGGCCATCACAGACTTGTGATGTTGCCTGGGCTAGAGTGCAGCGGTGCAATCACAGTGGTGCAAAGGGACAAAGTCAAGTCCCTGCGTAATAAGAAAAGAAAACAAAAAGGCATGTGAATCTTCGAATGATGAATCAAAATAAAGAGCCTATGTTACAAGCTTCTGTTGGTAACAAGCAGGTCTCTGACTGAATTGTATTGCAAAGTGACCAGTATAATGAGATGTGACCTACAGCCACCTCATAATGAACTTAATTTCATGTCTGATGAGCATTACTCTGTGGTTGAGCACTGAAGATACACGAATAGAGAGAATAAGCCTGCTACTCGCCCCTATCCGCCAAAGGCTTTAGCCGGGAAGCAGGATCACACTGATGTTCAGGGCACAGGTTCTGAGTCAGGCTTCATCTGCTGAATCTCAACTCTACCACTTCTTGGCTGTGGGATGTGGGCACATTACGTCATTTACCTATGACTCAGTTTCTCTTCTGTTATGTAAGGATACTGATATGGTCTGACTCTGTGTCTCCACTGACAGCTCATCTTGAATGGTAATCAAGATGAGTGTTGAGGGAGGAACCTGATGGGAGGTGACTGGAACATGGGGGCAGATTTCCTTCTTACAGTTCTTGTAATAGTGAATTCTCATGAGATTTGGTTGTTTAAAAGTATGTTGCATTTCCCCCTTTGCTCGCTCTCTCCTGCTGCCACGTTGAAGACCTGCTTACTTTCCCTAGGCCCTTCTGCCATGGTTTTAAGTTTCCTGAGGCCTGCAGCCATGCTTCCTCTACAGCCTGGAGAACTGTGAATCAATTAAATCGCTTTCCTTTATAAACTACCCAGTCTCAGGTAGTTCTTTACAGCAGAGTGAGAATGGACTAACACAGGTACTAACAGGACTAACCTTACAGTGTCACTGCAAAGGCTATTTGCGTTAATACTATCAGGCTCTTAGAATAGTGCGTATACATGGTAAGCACTAGACACAAGCTAGCTGTTATTATATTGTTTTCAGTATTGTCACCTCCTCCACTGCCACATCCTCCTCCTCCTCTACCATCATTCCCATCTCAATTACCTGTAGGACTGAGCCTAAATGACAGTATATTGTCTGATATGGAGAAGTCTGGGGACACGACAAAGCAAGTTCTCCTGGTCTTCAACGAAAGGGTCCTGGCTGGCTTAAAGACTCACTCCCACAGGCTACGCTGATAACTGCCCCCAAGCCAGGGAAGCACAAAGCAGTTGATGCTTGCTCAATCTTGTCTAGAAGACATTTTCTCCTCCTCACTTTATGATGGAGGTGTAACTTATTCAGAAAAGCAGCGAGATCAAGGCATCTGCCCTTCAGCTACTGAGATCCTGACCATTTGTAATTAGCTGTAGCTAGAACAGACAGCTACATCCAGGGGACTGAGAATGTACTGCAGACCATAGAATGAGTGCTTTCTGAAAAATTTTATGCATCTTAAAATGTCTCAGCTAACACCTCAGTGACCAAAAGAACTGGGATACAGGGAGGCTTCCCAGAGCAGCCTGGGGCAGCTGTCCCCACGCCCCACCGCACAGCTACCAACCTCACTGCAAGTGTCTGCGTTTCATTGTTTCTGCTCAAATTTTCTGCGTTTAAAATGAGACTGAGAGGGAAAAGTCAAAAAAAGGAAGGCCGTTTCACTGACAGAATTAAAACTGCATGAATTACAGACTGAAATATAAAGTATGCTACATCCAGAAGCTGTGGAAAGAACGCAGTGGAGTTTGGACAGGAGAAAAATGGGATCCACGGTTTAATATTTATTTGTTTGTTAAAATCTTTGCTTGAAAAACAAACAAAATAAACTAAACATGGTCTACTCTTCTCCTGAAATAGGGGCTTGGATCTTACTAGCCAGGCCTGAAACAGTATCAGAACAAAAGTAGGGCATTTCCCACTAACCATCTACCAATAGCAATCATGGGAAATAGGACAGATAAGACCAGCTGTATTTGTGCTAGGGGAAGTGAAGTGAAAAATATGAGTCATCTTGCTATCTTTGAATATCAATGGGAACAGAAGTTCTTTTTGGATTGACCATGTTCCAGCAAAGAATGTTCTGGCATGCAGTTGGGCACTGAGGAAATCCGCTATGTTTGGACACACTATAGAGCATTTAACCACCCCACGCCTTCACCAAGTCCACAGGAGGCCACACAGGCCAAATCCCTCACTCCAAACTGTTCTGGCTTTGATGTGCCTTGTCTGTGTTCTGCCGGACCAATAACATCTGGTGTTCAGCGGGCCCCCATGTCATCACCTCGCTGAGGCTCAGCCTTTGATGGGTCTCCAAAGAGCTCAGAACAGAACAGTCTTTCACGTTAGACAAGACAGAATGGCTTCTTGAGTTGAAAAGGGGAAATGGGGAGCGGAGCACAGAGAACGGGGAAAGAAGGGGAGTGGCCAAACCTTGTGGCTCACACCATAATCCCAACAATTCGGGAGACCAAGATGGGAGGATTGCTTGAGCCCGGGAGTTTGAGACCAGCCTGGGCAACATGGTAACACCCTGTCTCAAAAAAAAAGAAAGAAAACAAGGGGGGAATTTGGTGACAAAAATGATATGAGGGAAAGGGAAGGACAATTAGATGGGGGAGGTGATGATGAGGCCATGCACATACTGATTCCACCTCATCTTATTTTGTCTTCCTAGCAATGGATGGATGAAGACTCAGTGGCAGGTTACTCATTGTTCTAGAGATTTCTAGAGATGTCTAATATTGACAGGAACAGAGAAGCAAACAATCAAAAAATCCTATGTGGGACAAAATGGTAAAAACTCAGAGGGCAATGGTATTTCTGTTATGTAGTCTCAACTGATTCCATGATGAGCATTTCGCTCAAGCTTTGTTTTATGTTTTTCTAACATTAGGCTACAGTTAGGATTGCCCCTCTTCCAATTTTTACCAGCACAAACACTCCCACGGGCAGACCAGAAGTTTCTCAAAATTACCTTTTCATAGGCAGAGCGTTTAAAAATCCTTTGAACATATTTAACGTTTGTTGTTTTTCTGGATGTTTCAATGTGACAAACTTCATGCAGCAATATTTAATCTGATTTTCAAACAATTCATGCTATTGAATAAATAGGTGTATCATCATAAATTCCTCCACAGAATTGCAACAAATCATTTTGTAATTTAAGGACTACCAAACCACAAGGTTCCTTTAATTTTTCAAGCCATATACTTTGAAAACTGAGAAGAACCAAATCTTATTCAGCGTTTGGAGGCAGAGTGGAGACAGGAAATAACTCTGGACACAGACAGAGAAGACCTTGCTTCTTGCCTCGGTTCCACTGCATAAGAGCCGCATAGCACTAGACAAATCACGTAATTATTTCTGGGCCTCAGTTTCCTCTTCTGTCAAACAGGATGAGTAACATGTACATGGCTCCTTTACTTGGCTGATATAGCAGATAAAAGCCCCTTAAAAATTCTAGTGTCCCACGTAATCAGAAGGAAGAAGAACTATTCCTTAGCTTTGACTGCTGTTCATCTCACCTACACAAAATCAAAAGCGTCTCGGTGTAACTCCCTAGTCCTCCAGCAGCAAAGGAATGCCATACACCTTGTGTGCACAGGCTCTGCGGCAGCCCACTTCTGCAAGGAGAAGGGGTAGCGAGGCCAGCAGATGCAAAGATGGGGATGTTTGTGTGCTCAAAGTATCTACTCTGCTCCAAGACACCATGCAACTGCCAGACTAGACAAGCAGATGACCCCCCAAACCTCACTCTGAAGAATGAAAAACACTTTCCAAGTAGACACATTTTCACCTAGGATTTAGGCCAGAACACATCCTAGAAATGCAAGACGCATCTAAATGATATGGGGTCAAATAGCTCACCATGGAAAATTACACAATAAAACCAAAATGCTGTAGACTTCTGAAAGTAGACGCTGACTAAGATCACATTTTCTAAGTGTTTTCTATTGCACACTCTCATTTCTCCTCTTTTATCTGGGTATCTACATGGAGTAGTGGGAGGCCAAAAAGATATGGCGGCCTATTAATGTCAGGAGAGAGGAAATTCACCACTGAAAATGCAAGGGCCCAGCAAAGGTCTGGCCAGGGTGTAGACTTGTCCCCAAGGTGGAGTATTCAGAGAGAAGCCCAGAATGACTCACTTCGTTATGCTCCAAGCAGTAGATCATCAGCTCAGAAAGAATGACCACGCCGGTCCTTCCCACCCCAGCACTACAGTGGACCACAATGGGCGGGTGCCGGTTCTTGTTGCCTTCCAGCATGCTGTTGGTATGGCGACGGACCGACTGGATCTCCTCCAAGTAGGCTGCAGGACGAAACGCAAATCCTGTCACCAAAGTCCTCCATGGCTTTGTATATAAGTTGGGGAGGGGGAGCGGAAGAGAACTGATGGTGAATGTGTTTTTCTTTTTTTTTTAAGTGACAATAATTTACAGTTCTTACAAGACACTAATTATTTGGCTGGTACCCACTGTACAGTCCTGGATCCAGAAAGGACCAGCTGGGAGTCAATTAGTTCACGGGAGAATTTGTTCTTTAAATTAAATAGTTCTTTTTTAAAAATTAAATTCTGTTTTCCCCTCTGCAAATCCCTAAGTCCCCCAAGCAGATGATTCTAGACATTACTTACAGCAATTCCTGCTATTAACAGACTGGGATCAGAACAACTGCTAAGTCCCCTTGAAACGCCCGCCTGTCAGAGCCAATTTCTGGTGGAGAGAGAGCATCCATCTGCCCCTTCTTCCTTCCCCTCACTGATGAGTGAATGTCAACTGAGGCTTGACTTCATTTTTGGATTTTAAAGTAGACTTTGGGGAGTCTGCTTTCCAGCATGGATTCCATGGGGCTATGAGAACAGCCCAAGATGAACCCCCTTTCTGGAGTCAACATGTGTATGAGGTGGAGAGGTCATGATACCCCCCATGCCTTCCAGCATCTGTCTGGCTCAGCAGGGCTGTGTAGGGAGGGGTGTTTTCATGACTCCAATTAGGCACAAAAGAAAAATTACAGGATTCCAAGCCTTAATGACTTTTTTCACAACCATGACAAAAGAGAAAAGTATAGAAATGTAATCCTCAGACATTCCCAAAACCCCCCCAAATTAATTAATAATTTAGGTCAGTAGCTGAGGAAAGAAACAGGTTTAAAGGTTCTTGACACTCGGTGAGCCTCATCCTGAGGTAAAAGCATAAACAAGACTCTAGGGGAAATGTCTACACTGTTGAAGAGAAAAAAGTAGGTTTGAACCATTCAAATAATTTAAAAGCATCTGTTTACAGACATATATAAAGAACCCATACTTTCCTTTATATACTTACCTAATTATTAAATAATCTGAAGTGGTTTACCAAATAAGCAAACTATTATTATTACCACTACTACTACGATGATGATTGGTAATAACTGTGTTAGTGCTAGTCACAGCAGTACTACTGGTAGTAAAATAGGACAAAACAAGAAAGAAAGAAGATGCCATGAGATGCATAGAGGGAGTAGTTATTTAGGCACCAAATACAAGCTAATATTGTGCATGGAATCTTCTTTACAATGTTTCTGCAAGTGGGAAAAGACATGAGGCAACTGAGTATTCTGTCTGACCAAAGACAGTATTTACATACCAGAGACAAAGCTTTACTTGAGCTAAATTTAAGAAGAAAAACAAAAGGAATGTTGGGTAATGACACTTTCAAATAGAGCTTTTCCTGTAGTGGAGGGAAGGTCGATTCAATGGATGTTTCCTCCATCAATCATATTAATAAAGTTCCTTATGCTGTAACTCAGTAAAGACTTCTAGAGGGCAGTAAACAATTTGGCTTAGGTACCCGGCATCCAGGTAATCTAATTTCAACACAGGCAAAACCCTTTTAAAACCTAGGAGACCCGATTCAACATTTCTAATGCCTGGCATGGTATAAGTGTATTGAGTTTTCTAAAAATATAATACTTACATTCACATTATTTAAAAATACTATGTATTCTTCGGTAATGTAGACAGGGTTTCCTTAATTGGTTCTGATTTAAAAGACTATTCTTTCTTTCTTTCTATGTATGTATGTATGTATGTATCTATCTATCTATCTATCTATCTATCTATTTATTTATTTATTTAGAGGCAGAGTCTTGCTCTGAAGCCCAGGCTGCAGTGCAGTGATGCAATCTCGGCTCACTGCAACCTCCACCTCCTGGGTTCAAGTGACTCTCCTGCTTCAGCCTCCTGAGTAGCTGGGATTACAGACACCTGCCAGAACAACTGGCTAATTTTTTGTTTTGGTAGAGACGGGATTTCACAGTGTTAGCCAGGATGGTCTCAATCTCCTCGTGATCCACCTGCCTTGGTCTCCCACTGAACCCAGCAAAAGACTATACTTTAAAGTGCCTTTTACACTCACTCTTTCATCAGAGTTGTCAGCTAATCAACAAACTGATCTATTTATATTATTTCCATTTTCTGCTTCTTGGAGAAAATTTTAGTAAGTCAGTTAGCAAGTGATCAGCTGAAAGAAATATAACGAGCACTGTTAGGAGGAAGGGAGGTTCTTATTAGTATTTTAAGCTACAGATAATGACCCATTTGACCTCAGGCAAATCATGAATCCTCTCTGGATCTTACTCAAGATCCTCTGACTCCAGTCATCCTTCTCTGCTTTCAGTGCCAAACCCTCAAGTACCATTGTCACTTTCACGTAAATGAAATGCTTTTATCGCTGGATAAGTACACATCAGAATATTTGTTAAAACCTGTAAATCAGTATTTTTAGCTCTTCAAAACCTGTTCTCTCTCTCCTTTCTTTCTTCTCCCATTCTAAATGAATACCAAAATAAACTCAAGGTTTTGACATTATCCAGCATCTGGATGATGGTCCCTCCGTGGTGGTCACAGGTCCTCCTCTAGCTGGAGAGTCAACAATAGATCAGGCACAAGGCTACAGGGAGCATCCAGGGCTCCTTTCTAGCTAGGTAAGGAATGGGGTTTCCCGACAAACACAGGACAGTCAGGTGAGCATGTGGAAAAGGAGAGAGAGCTGCAGCCACCACTGAAAAGCAGAGGAGGGTATCAGATCTCATCTTTGGACCATGATGACTGGCCTGTCTTTCCCTTTAGACTAGGAATACCTTGAAAGCAAAGACTGTGAACTCAGTGTCATCTCTGCCCCATCCAGTGCCTGGCATGTAGTGGGTACATGCCCAATTTTTGGCCTTTCAAATAAAATACTGCACATAATCTGGTGAATTAGTTTCTAATATAAGCACGTTCTAAAAATACACATATATAGAATTTAATAAATTAGTCTTTAAGCAAATTTCATTTCAAAAACTATAAGAGGGTTTCGATACTTCTTAGTGTTTTCATAAAAATATGAAAAAGCTTGAGAAAGTACTGAGGTTTACCATTGTAGGGAAATATAGGGCTTGTGAGAATGCAAACCTTCATGAGAAATTTTATTTATTCACTTATTTTTAAATTTTTTTTTTTAGGTAAGAGTTTCACTCTTGTTGCCCAGATTGGAGTGCAATGTTGCAATCTCGGCTCAGTGCAACCTCCGCCTCCCAGGTTCAAGCAATTCTTCTGCCTCAGCCTCCCCAGTAGCTGGGATTACAGGAATGCACCACCATGCTTGGCTAATTTTGTATTTTCAGGAGAGATGGGTTTTCACCATGTTGGCCAGTCTGGTCTCAAACGCCTCACCTCAGGTGATCTGCCCCACTTAGCCTCCCAAAGTGCTGGGATTACAACATAAGCCATCACGCCTGGCCTATTTTTAAATTTCATTTCTCTTCTCTTTTTTTTTTAATGTGCTAAAGTGAACACAACATAAAATTTACCAGTTTAACCATTTGTAAATGTACAGATCAGTGGCATCAAGCATATTCACAGTTGTGCAACCATCACCACCATCCATGTCCAGTACTTTTTCACTGTCCCAAACACAAATCTTGCACCATCAAATAGTAATTCCCGGCTGGGTACGGTGGCTCGTGCCTATAATCCCTGCACTTTGGGAGGCTGAGGAGGGCAGATCACTTGAGGCAGGAGTTCGAGATCATCCTGGCCAACAGGGTGAAACCCCGTGTCTACTAAAAATACAAAAATTAGCCAGGTGTGGTGGCTGTGCCTGTAGTCCCACCTACTTGGGAGGCTGAGGCAGGAGAAATGCGTGAACCTGGGAGGCAGAGGTTGCAGTGAGCCGAGATCGCACCACTGCACTCCAGCCTGGGTGACAGAGTGAGACTCCACCTCAAAAAAAAAAAAAAAATTGTAATCCCCCTTTGCCTCAGCCGCTGGAACCTCTCACCCAGTTTCTCTCTCTGACTTTGCCTATTCTAGGTACCTCATGTAAACGGAATCACAACTTCTGTCCTTTTGTGACTGGATTATTTCCACACAGTATCATTCCTCAAGGTTCATCCTTGTTGTAGCGTGTGTCAGAATAATTACTGATTAAATGAGTAGCTGAAGGTCTGAATCAAGGTACAGCCAATTTGTTGACCACAGTCTTAGCTTATGTGCAGGAAAGGTAAACAGAATTAAGTGACATGTATTATTCTTCTCTGTTCTACATAGTAACAAAGGAACATATATTTCAATGTTATGACACTTTTGCCACTTAAGAGAAAGCATCTTTTTTTTCTATTCCATCTCTAACGGATGGATTATTGACACACTTTGTAACAGTCAGTCAGGTAACACACAGACTCGAAAGAAAAAAACTTACATAAAAACCCTTGGACGTCCTCTGGGCAGCCGTGATCTGGCCAGTCAGTATACTGTAAATGCCACACTGTCCTTTCTTGCCCAGATAAAAGATGCTTGACCTTCAAGCCCGTGGTTGCATAGCAAACAGAATCAGTTCGAAACTTTGTGGTGACCTTGAATTTGCCATAGGTGGCTGAGCTGTGCTTGGAACCCAGTTTGGGCCAGTATCGGTGGCTTTTGGTTCGTCCGCCCTCCTAAATCACACATAAAAGCAAAATTGGAAATAGCTCAAAGGAAGCTCCCATCCTCTTAATCCTAAGATGTGAAGACAGAAGAAAATGCACATAGCTTCTAAATCGTTAGGCTCAGTAGCACTCTGCAGTGTCTACCACAGGGTAGATCCTATATGTGCTAATTAAGACCAAAAACTATGGTCTTTACAATGACAGCTGCATCAGTGGAAAAGATAAAAGATTCACAACTGAGGTGCAGTTGAATGTTAGACAGAGGTGCAAGTGCAAAATCTAGAAACATGAACAAGCTTGGTGCATTCAAGAAACAAAGGTCTTCCAGGTGGCTGGAGTGTGACATGTGAGGGGCAGTCGGTAGGAGAGGACACTGGAAAGGCCTCACAGTCCATGGTGGAAAGTTGGGATTTCACTCCATGGGCAATGGGAAGTCACTCAAAGGTTTTAAACAAGGGAGCAAGAGGTTCCAGCAATCGCTCTAGGTCAGGCTACTCCTCTCCGACGTTCAGCCCAGAGCTCTTTCTGTGACAGCACAATTACTATGGATGCTGTCTTTAGCTAGTGTCGATCTCACATTTTTTTCAGCCTGACTAATTTGTTTCAGTTCAATGGACAACTAGAACTGAGAAGAGCTGGTCACATCACTGTTCTTTCTCCCTTGATTTTATCTTTTCTGAGACTATGTACTCTCAACCATCTACACAAGGTCTATGTTTAAGTTTTGCACAGTTTTAAAATCCCTGAAGAAGAGGCAGAGTGTGGAGGAGGTGGTAGCTGAGGAGATTCAGGGCAAGAGTAGGTGGTGAGAGAGAGGGAACACTGAACACAGCGCTGCAGTGGTGACAGGCTCTGGGAACCCTGATGGCTGTTTAGAGGAACCCTAATGTCTAGCCTACTTGTAAAGCAACATGTCTTTGGGGAATACAAATTACCTTGCCTGGCTTCATTTGGTTTAACTGAGTCTCCTTAAGTTGGAAGCATATCTTGCTCTTTTATTTGCTAATCATGTGAAAGCACATTTACCTCAAATTTATATTTCTGCTGAGTGTATAAATCAGTTATGGATTTTTAAAAACTATGAGTTCCCAGCTCTCCCACAGATCACTAGATGCTATTTGTCTTGGCAAGGCTGGCCCCTTGTCACTCCTGTCTCACCTGCAATACCACTTCCTCGGATCTAAAGTATCCCCTAGTCACGCTCTCTCTTAACCTTTTGTTCCATTTTAAAAAATTTTTTCTCCCTTGAATTTAGGCTCCTATTAATAAGGTTTTCACTTCCAGCCTTCCAGCAAGTGTGAGACATGATACAGAGCCTGGAGCTCAGGGTTGCCCATCCCGAAGCTACCCTTTAGTAGGAGTGCCCTAGTGTGAACGGCAGTTTTGCGGCTGAAACCCACACAAAGAGGAAGAGGGAAGAGACAGGAGGACCCACCTCTGTACCTTCCTCCCCAGACCCTCTTTGGACCGCAGTTTTCCATTTTTGCCACAGCACTTACTGCTATTTGAATTTATTTGTTCACTTTCGAATGCCCCTCCCACTAGGACACAAGCTCTATGGGGACAGGGATGGTGCCTGTCTCATTTACCATGTACTCCTGAAGTTAGCACAGATGGTACGCTGTATTTAAGTGAATGAATGCCTTGCAATGATGTGATCTGATGAGATGATAAATCTATTCTAGAAGCTTTAAGGAGGATTCATTCTCTTTGTGGGAAGGTCAAACAGGTCAGCCCAAGAAAGTACAACTGGCTTTAAAGAGCTTGAAGTCCCTTTCATTATTTTCTTCTAATGGACTGTGCTGAAAAGCAAACACTCAGAACAGTCAATGAAGGAAAATATGACTTTTTCCTCCCCAATTTTCTTTGTTCCTGACCCCTTTAACATAGCTAGGAAAGGCCACTGCAATACCATGGATACTGGTAAACACACATTAAACTAGTCCCTTGAATGATTTCAAAACATAAACTGGAATTTAATGAAAGAAATGAAAGAAGGAGAATGTGACAAGAGAAGAAACAACAGTTCTCCCCGCAAAGACAGCAAGCTGAACACCGACTGGACTGACCGGCAGTGTAGGCTGGTTTTTTATTACATCACATAGAGTTCTCTAGTTACAGCAGAAAACTATGTTTGGCTTGGCAAAAGAAGAAAAAGATATAATTTTCTCTCCCCAAAGAACAGAGGCCTCTCCAGGAACAAGTTTCTGGTCTCTTTTCAGCTGATAAGCATGGTGCATGTGGAGCTGGGGCCTGGAGTTGGACATCTAAGTGGATTTGCCCTGAGCAGCCTGAGACTCTCCCATTCCAGTGGAAAGCTCACTGTTTCGTTTGGCACAAAGTTAGCGGGTTGAACTAAAGTCTGGTCATTTCTTGGTGTTCTGTTGTTTTATTTTCAGTTTAGTGTGTGTCAATCCAAGGAAAAGAGTTAAAAGCCAGATGAAAATGAGAGGAGGAAAAGCTACAACAATATCTATCTGGAAGTAAGAAGAGAAAATAGATATATACCAAAGAGAAAAGCATTTGCAGAGAAACAGCACTGCAGGAAGGAGAGGGTAACAGAATCGCCAGTACAAAGCCCATCTTCTGGCTACCCTTTGCCCTGGGGAAAAGGACGTGGAGTAGGCCGTTTCCCTTACCTCCTCTGCGGTGACCATGGCAATCACATTCACTCCCTGCTCCCACACCATCTGCCAGAAGTCGTGGCACGTGTGTGGCAGGGGTCCCTGGGTGGCTATGTAGTGCCATTCTGCCCCGCCAACCACCACCTGAAAACGAAGGGAAGCGTCAGTAAATAAACCCCAAGTCCGGGACAGCATTGCGTACTGACCACCTGTTCATCTGTATACACCTTAAAACCCTGGATATTTTTTTGGCCAAATGAATTCGTTCAATTAATAGAAACCCTGAGATTATAGAGACTAGTGACACAGCCTCACATGAAAAGATTTTTTGCCACTCATGTCTATTAAAATATCTACCTGATCTTTTTTTGTGTGATGGGGTCTCACTCTGTTGCCCAGGCAGGAGTGCAGTGGCATGATCTCGGCTCACTGCAACCTCTGCCTCCCGAGTTCAAGTGATTCTCCTTCCTCAGCCTCTCAAGGAGCTGGTATTACAGACACCTACCATCATGCCCAGCTAAATTTTGTATTTTTGGTAGAGACAGGGTTTCACCATGTTGGCCAGGCTGTTCTTGAACTCCTGACCTCAGATGATCCACCCTCCTCAGCCTCCCAAAGTGCTGGGAGGACTGGAGTAAGCCACCACATCTGGCCTTAACTTGATCTTGGTTTGCAAATCACAGTACATACAAACTAGTGCCTATTAAAAACACATACACATAGATACATGTATATACGCATCTATATGAACATGTATAACTTAGGATTTGTTACAGAAATAATAGTTATGCTTACTATGTGCAATGTACTTTGACACTTTCTGTTCTTTTCTCTCCTCTAGTCTAGTCTATTTCATTAACACACACAGACACACATACACACACACACCTGGTCATGACCACTAAACTGATTTCACATTCTACCACCGTGTTACGACCCAGTTTGAAAAACAGTACTCCATGGCATCCAATTATACACAAACAAACAAACAAAAAACCCAAAAAACGACCACGGAACAGCGTCCCTTTTGGAGCACTATCTTTCTCCTGCGGATCTGATATGAAGTGTATCATAAACCTCTGCTGTCACTGCTGCTCTGTGGTGCCACGCACAGCAGAGATGCTAAGAATGCCCTTGTCAACAGCACATATTTCATCAATAACTTCACCTTGGTAGTACCACAGCATCCAACTGAACTACAGAGTCATGAGATGACTTCAGACAATAAAATTATTACCCCATGCAGCTCAGGGTGATCAGGAGAAGATAATTCTACAGCTATAAACAGTAGCTGCAGAGAACCATAAATAAGAAGTTGTACTCAAAGTGTTAAAGGTCACGCTGTCAAGGTGAAATGGTGGCCTCTGGAGGAATTCTTTCTGTTCTCCCTTCCAGCTCTGTGCCTTAATATTGCAAAGTCAGGTTCCTTCTACATCTATGCAATGCAGATCTCTGGAGAGTTCAAAAAGCAATGAAGTAATCACTGTTTGAAACTTTTTTCCCTCATTTATTTTATAAAACTGTATGCTAACTTAATTCAAACAAAAACAATGTAAGCTATTGTCTCATTACACAAGACATGTTTAGGTCAAAGCTGGCAAGAAAAATCCATTTTCCAAATACTGGTGGGAGATAACATTCATATATTTGCTGGCTAGGAGTTTGGTTTATCTGTGGAATTGTGATTTTAAACATTAGCCTCTCTGGCACCCAACATATAGGAACCATAAATACTTCCAGAGAATGTTGCTGCCTGGGGCCTTTCAGCATATTCCAAGTATTGACAGGAGGGTATTAAAAACTGCATTAAAAACACAACAAGCAGTGCTACTGAGGTAGATTTCACAGATGTGATTCCACCTCTGGAGCAAATAAATCTCTGTTCTGTGTTAATGGCTGCTTGGAACCCAGGGGGGAAAACATTGGCAAAATATACAACTCTATTCCAAAACACTGGGGCAAGCTCTTGCAAGCTCATGGGTCTATTAAATGCACCCATGTCTAACCTGGATCCACAGGATGAAATGTGGGCCGCAGGGAATAACCAAGAAGGGAATGCTTCTTGGATAATGATACCCAATGGGCACAGTTTATACAAAGTGACGGCTTTTTTCAGAGAGCAGATGGAAAATGGTGGAAGAGATCTGGCCAAAAGAAGAAGATAATACACTGTTGCTATGCAAGATTTTCAGAGACACTCCATCAAGAAGCAGCTGTGTGATCTGCATCTTTCTTTGAATATGTTACTTTGGTCACTGTTTCATAATCTAAACTAAGCCCATAAAACACACCATTGCCAGTTTATTTAAGAGTTTCCTAGAGTCCAATTTTTATTTCTCACTCTCAAAAAACCAGACTAAAAATTAGCAATATGATCTATGATAGTTGCTCTTCTTTTGACAGTACTAATTATTAAAAAATATGGTTATCTGTGTATATTAATAAAAAATACTATATGCCCAACCACGCTACACTTTTCACATTCCATATCAAAACTAGTTATAACTGATATACAAGCTAGATACCTAACTAGCCTTTAGAAGTTCAACTATTAATTGAACCTTGTGTTAATCAACAATATCCTATAACAATGGTTTTAACATTAATAGATGAATAAATTATCCTACTTAAGAGTTCAGAGCAAATGGTGACATTTGAAACAAGTGTCCTCTGTGAATAAAGATACTGAGGAAGGTAAGCTATTTAGGAAATATTTAACTATACGTACACACATATCCATAACTCAAAGTTGTTTTTTTTTTTTTTTTTTTTTTTAAAGATGGGGTGTCACCATGATGGCTAGGCTGGTCTTGAACTCCTCACCTCAGGTGATCCACCCACCTCAGCCTCCCAAAGTGCTAGGATTACAGGCGTGAACCACCGTGCCTGGCTCCATAACTCAAACTTTTAACTGCAGAACTGATAAACTATGTAATACTGACATATAAAGGTTTGAAGTATTTGAAATAACAAAAATTTAGTAACACAAATTAATTGACTAATGTGGCAAATCTTTCAAGATTCAATATTAACCACATTTTTATAGTTTAGGTGAAAATCACTCCACTCTTTTAAATATCATGCAATAATAAGATTTGTGCTATAAAATGCATAACCGTATATTATAAGGGAGGAACAACAGTTTCTGCTGTTATTGAACATAAAAGGTTAATGTCAGTAATGCAATATCTGTTACTTCCAAAGTCTCCATCACTTGCTAATTACAAACTGAAAAGGATAATCTTCAGTTTTTCCTGTGAGTACAGAGAGTTATAGCCCACAGAGAGAAGGAAAAGTTAAAGCCTCTGTAATGAGCAGGCTTCAGAAATCGCTGACCTGAGGTTTTTCCTAAGGCTGCTAGACTTCCTTCTCTCTGCAGTGATAGACATGCCCTTCCACTTGACTAAGAAAAGCACAGGAGTTCAAAAACACTCCCTGAGGGTCTGGGGACAAGCCAAAAGGCACAGTTACAGCCCACACGCTTTCTTCTCCCTGCATTTTTACCTTTAACCCAGCTATCTTTAAGAAACCTTCTAACAGGCTGCCTTCTTACCTTGATGTGGGAGGCGTTAATGTATCCTGTGTTATTTTCTTTGGTTGGTATCAGCTCTACTCGATTCTCCTCATAGGGGACAACTTCGCGGATTCGGCTGCGCTCGGCATTTTCTGGCAGAGCCGCTGTGCTGAAAATGCCATTCGCTTTTTTCTTTGGAATTTGCTCATATTCTGTGAACACCATTCCCTCTTCTAGTTTCTTCTTCAGCGTTCTGAACTGCAACAGAAATTGGTCTTCAGCTCTCTAAATTATCTGATCCAAAAACTCAATGAAACAACCAAATTTCTGTTTTTTTTTTTTTTTTTTTTGAGACAAAGTTTCACTCTTGTTGCCCGGACTGGAGTGTAATGGTAGGGCCTGAGCTCACTGCAACCTCCGCCTCCCAGGTTCAAGCGATTCTCCTGCCTCAGCCTCCCCAGTAGCTGGGATTACAGGCATGCACCACCACGCCTGGATAATTTTTTGTATTTTTAGTAGAGATGGGGTTTCTCCATGTTGGTCAGGCTGGTCTCGAACTCCCGACTTCAGGGGATTCACTTGCCTCGGCCTCCCAAAGTGCTGGGATTACAGGCATGAGCCACTGCGCCCGGTAACAACCAAATTTCTTTAAATATTTACAGTGATTGTGTTAATATGAGATTTCAAGTTGTATAATCAATACTTGGTTAGTTTGTCTCATTATTAACCATATTGATAGTTTCCCTCATCTAACAACCATTTTCCTTCTTACTCATACTACAAGTAGAACAAATCTGCAAGAACTAGCAAGAGCTGAAATTTATAAATCAAAATTTTTGCCAATAATGCTCTGTTCAAAGTCCTAATGATAAAGAGACTGTTAAGCTTAATTATCCAACATCCTTTTCTCCACATATGTAGCTGTTTTTAGATGATACTGATCCACAATTCTATAGCTCTGAAAATTAAATCTCTTTTTTCCTCCTCACTCGCCAAACTACTAGTAATAGTAACATGCTATTAATTGGGTTAAATGATTCCTCTAAAGTCCCTTCTGGGTCTAAAAACATCCTAATTCTGGATACATACTAGCAGAAATCTAACGCCTTAATGTTATTAGTACTCTATTATGTTTATACAACCTGTTTCTTAACCTTCTGACAGCAAGTTCAGGAACTAAGGATACACCTTTCTTCACGTCTAAAACACTACCATGCAGCTGTTTTCTGCTTTTCAAAACCAGTGTTCTCACAATGTGTTATCCAGACAATTATAAATCAGCCTCATTTTATGGTCATATGAGGGGACAGCACTTTTAAAGAACTCTATAAATGCTTGGATACGAGGGTCATGTCTTTTGAGGGGAAACATGGATGGAGCTGGATGCTATTATCCTTAGCAAACTAGCACAGGAACAGACCAAATACTGCATGTTCTCACTCATAAGTGGGACCTAAATGATAAGAACTTATGAACACAAAGAAGGAAACAACAGATACTGGGGTACTTGAGGATGGAGGGTGGGAGGAGGGAGAGGAGCAGAAAAGATAACTATGGGGCACTGGGCTTAATACCTGGCTGATGAAATAATACGTACAACAAACCCCTGTGACACACCTGTGTCCTAAACGTTCACATGTGCCCCCAAAAAGAAAATAAAATTTTTTAAAAAATTAAGAATAAAAATAAATGCTTGGATAAAATAATCACTTCCTAAGAAATGGCAATCGCTCACAAAAATCACAGAAATTGAGAGCTACTGCAAGTGGTTAACTTGTGCATTTTACAAAAAAGGAAGCAGGCTTAAAGAAATTGAGTGACTTGACCAAGTCACACGGCATGTTAGGGGCTGCTGGTTTTAGGCAACCATTGATCCGCCAACCTGACAAAGCAGGAAGACCGGAGCAGAGAAACATGAGATGCTGGAAGGGACTGATTTAATGCAACGCAGTTATACCTGATCTTCCTAATTTCAGACTGAAGAACGAAAGCATCACACAAACCTCAGTGCTGGCACGTCTGGGCAAGGAGGGTGTTTTGGGATCCTACGACCGCAGAGAATGAATCACATTTGACAAGCCTGCCACTTACCCTCTCATCCATGGGAACCCGGGTGGCATCAACTCGATTCTCTTCTCGCCCTGAGACTCGAGCCACCGAGAGCCCATTCAACGCTGCCAACATCAGCGGCCTCTTCTGTGCCTCCAGGCCTGCCATCTTCTGCTTCTCCAGATTCTTGCGGCAAGAAAAGGCATGTTCTCATTGTTTATAATACTAGTAGAATGTTGGAATGTGTTTTAATCTCCCCAAATCTGTAACTCCTCAGCCAAGGAATGCAGACAATCACCATTAGTAGGGCGAATTCAAACACAACCTTCCCACTATTCCCACTAGGCCCCCGGAAGCCAGTTCCTACAGGACTCCTGAGCTTTTATTCTTAATTAACTCCTTAGCTAGATAGATCAATAAATAAGAAAAAAAGACTCCCTAAAAATACACCCTGCCATAGGGCTAAAAAAAAAAATAGGTTACGTGCAGGCACTTTAGAAAGATAAGGGCTGAAGACAACAGGAGAAGGAATAGAGAAACAGGTTTATCCGAATCATCTAATCCAATCACAGCGATGGCCATTTTGCATAGATGGAATGGAGCAAAACTTGTAAAACGGTTTGTTGCTGTTGATCGAGAGATCCATACACATATATTTTATAGAGAAAAATCTTCCTAAGTTTCTGTCTTAAGGGGCTAATGCTGAGGATGTTAATTCTATATTTAATCTCTGGTCCTTGGAGTACCTCTGAGTAGTGTCATTCCCAGAACTGAAAGCTGATGTAGTTTAGCGAGCTCACTAACACCAAAGCCTGGCTGGGGTCATTTAAGACGATCCACCAGGCATTACTCTTCAGCTTCACGCAGAGGGCCCACAATAACAGAGGCTGTGACTCCCAGAGCAGATGGTGGGACATCACCGCATGCTGCTGAGCTATGGGGGAACATGGGCTCAGGAACTGACAGACCACTTAGGGAAAAGTTTTGATGTTCACACCTGGCCCTGGTTTGTGGCTTTTTGATTTCCATCCTCTCTGCCCTCGCCTCTACACTGAAACCGGATCGGTCAGGCCTGGTTTTTAGCTTCCTGCTGTGCTTCTTCAGGTCCTTGAAACTGACTGAGTATGAAAAAGCTCTCTTTACACTCACTTGAAGCAAGCCATGAAGGGCCTTTCCTAAAAGTAACTGTGTCTTGGAAGTTAAGGGAAGAACACAGGCACTTCTCATAGAAGTAGATGAGTTTTGCAGAGTTTAAGATTTTGATTCACACTGAAGGACAACAAATTTGCAGATTCATTTGATTGCCACAGATGAAGAGCCATTGAATCCCTGGTTTCTTTTCAAGCCTTGGGAGACTTTTTTCCTTATTCTCTGAACTATAAATTCACTCCCCAAGAAGACGTCTTGACGGAGTCATCACACAGGGTTATGAATTGTTCTAATTGTGGGTGGCGGGGAACTGCATTACACTCTTCCATGTGTCTCTACAGTGTCACCTACAATCCGAATGAAGCCTGTGTTAGTGACACTGACAACAGGAGGCTTGCACTGGTGATGGCCAACCCATCAGACAAACCAAAGAAGCATCTCAGAGGAGGTTACTGGGAGAAAGTGAGAGAAGTGCTGTGAAAGGAAAATACCTTGGGCCCCAATTCGCTAAGCTAAAAGGAAAACTCAAGCTGGGAACTGTTAGGCAAACCTGCCTCCCATTCTATTCAGTCACCCCTCTGCTCACTGAGATATATGCATATCTGATTTCCTCCTTTGGAAAGGCAAATCTGAAACAAAAGAATGCAACTATTTGTCTCTCACCTACTTGTGACCGGGAAGCCCCCTCCCTACTTCAAGTCTAAGGTGTCCCGCCATTCCAGACCAAACCAACGTACTTCTTACATTGACTCATGTCTCATGTCTCCCTAAAATGTATAAAACCAAGCTGTGCCTCAACCATCAGGACCTCCTCAGGCTGTGCCACAAGTGTATACCCTCAACCTTGGCAAAGTAAACTTTCTACGTTAACTGAGACTGTCTCAGATTTTCTGGGTTTACAGTACTCAGGGACTTACCACCAAAAGATGCAATATTCTTTCAAACGGCCCTGGGCTCTCAATGCTTGGGAACCCCCTGGGGGACGATTCTGGATTAAAATTTTTAGGGCTTTGTTTGTTTGCTTCTAGTTTTGAGGAGAAAGAGTTTTTCTTTTTTTCACTTCTGTCACCCCTTTCACTTGGGAATCTATTTCACTGCTCTCCAAAGTTTTGAGAAAGCTATAGTTCTGGAAAATGGGTCCTGAGCTCCTCTCAGCAGTCCTGCTTTCTTTCCACTTTGCACTGTAAGGCAACCCTAACCGGGTCTAAGACAAAAATTAATGAATTAGTCCTTCTTGAAAAGGTATTATGACTCAGTGATAAACTACGTCTCTTTGCTCCTTCTCACTCACCCTATCAGCTTGTTACCAGACATACAAAATAATAATAATTCAAAAGATTTGATCTGGCCTTTTCTTAGTGTATCAACTCTGGCTAAGGGATTCCAAAGCAGGGAAGTGCCTTCAAGGAAGCAGTAGGAGCCACAAAAGAGGGGAACCATCCATCAAATAGACAAGCAGCTCCAGGAGGGCTGCCCAGAGGGCAAATTCTCACCACACCTGCACCTGCACACCCCCACCAGCCCCCTAGTTTTCTTTTGCTAAAAGTTTCTTATTGTGTTCTATCAAGAGGGCCCTTAGAATGGCCCTCACCTCTCAGGGATTCCCATCAAGCTGGCAAAAGCTGCCTATTGTGAGGAGAGCAGAGAAGTATCTGACCGGTGGGGATGCTGCTTAGGTTATGAGTGAGTTTCCGCATTACAAACAAAACAGATGGAGACTCATCTTGGGCTCAGAGCCACTGGCATTGTCACCCTTGCCTGGCCTTCTGGCTTACTGAAGAAGCTCCTAATCCTCCTCTAAGGTCTGCTGGTGTCCTTGAGCTCCTGAGTGTAGCAGATTTGGAAAAAAAATATTTCAACAGGGAAAATGAAGTAGAAATGGGGTAATTATTTCTTGAAGTAAAGGTTAATTGACAAAATTTGCAAGTCATTATTACCCACATGAATGGAATGGAAAAGCATCTGGAGCAAAAAAATAGTGTAAAAACCCCTTGTTCTTTTATGACAATGCAAGGAGCTCCAAGGAGGAGACCAGTGCCAAGATTCTGGCCACAGGCTATTTGTTTAATATGAACAACAAGAGAAGGGGATGGGTACAGCCAAAATGAGGTTATGAGACCATGTGGACATCAGTAAGTATCGAGCTGGCAGGGGAAATAGCTAAATTAAATGCTTAGACTGCTAGGTTCTTGATGCTAATATTGCTTTTAAGTGGTCTGGAAGAAGTATTAAAAATCCATTTCTACCAATGAATTACTTTCTTCCACACTGGGAAAGCTCTCTCCCAACAGCACCCACCCACACATTTCTTCCATTCCAAGCCAAAGGTTTTCTTTGCTAGAGGCAAAGGTACACCTTGCACAGTTTCCTTCTAGGTGTGCAAAAAGTCGTGTCTGTATAAAAAACTCTTAGCACCACTCTAGCAGGGCTGGCCAAATTGAGAATTTTCTTAAGGTTTTCCAAAAGTAACAAGGTTGCTACAGATTCCATTTCTGACCCCAGCAACTTGGCTTCCTGAAATCTTTGGGCCTTGATTGTTCTTTTCAGGTTGAATCCTAATGATGGGCTAGGAAGACCTGGAAATGAAGGTAGTCTAATGGACCATCAAAGCAAATTTTAAGTTACAGCTGTTCTGGAGTTCCTAAAATTTGGCTTGGCTACCTTATAGTGCAACAGTGGTGAACGAAGCGAAGTCAATCTGGCTTTGATTATTTCTAATTAATTGGTTTTTTATTAAGAGAGTGAAAATGTTCATGGGAAGCAGCAATGGAGATTTTTTAAAGTAGCAATAATCCAAACATTTTCTCATTAGTAAGAGCAAATGCACTTCATTGTTCTGCATGCACCCGCATAGTCCTGTTCTGACAACACAACTGTCTCCCTAGACTGTACAATTTTTTTTTTTTTTTTTTTGAGACAGAGTTTCACTCATGTTACCCAGGCTGGAGTGCAATGGCGCGATCTCGGCTCACCGCAACCTCCGCCTCCTGGGTTCAGGCAATTCTCCTGCCTCAGCCTCCTGAGTAGCTGGGATTACAGGCACGTGCCACCATGCCCAGCTGAATTTTTGTATTTTTAGTAGAGACGGGGTTTCACCATGTTGACCAGGATGGTCTCGATCTCTTGACCTTGTGATCCACCCGCCTCGGCCTCCCAAAGTGCTGGGATTACAGGCTTGAGCCACCGCGCCCAGCCTCTGTACAATTTTTTTTAAGCGACGAGGTCTAGTTCTGCCCTCCATGGCACAATCACAACTCACCGAAGCCTTGAATTCCTAGGCTCAAGTGATCCTCCCACCTCAGCCTCCTGATTAGCTAGGATTAGAGGCTCCTGCCATCATGCCTGGCTGGGTCTTTTGTTTTTTGTAGAGATGAGATATCATTATATTGCCCAGGCTGGTTTCATAATCCTGGCTTCAAGTGATCTTCCTACCTCAGCCTCCCAAGTAGCTGGGACTAGAGGTGTTCACCACTATACCTGGCTCTGTACATATTCTGAAGAAGAGCTATTCACGTCTAACACTAGAATGGATCTTCAAATGGTAATATGGATGTATATATACATATGTATGTGTTTATTTACATACACGTGTGAATTTTTGATAGAGTTAAGTTTGTTGGTGGCAATTTTCCCTTCTGTTAGATCTTGATGAATAAAGCAGTCATAATTCATTTCTAGAAAGACTGTTTATACGCTGGCATTCAAAATGCTTTTTATTTAGAATAGTAGTAAAAATGGAAAAAGAAAAAGGAAATAATGATGGAATACCAGACCAAGAGAATTCCTTGGACTTTTCTGAACACTTTAACCAACTTGAATTGTTGGAAACACGTGGACACCTTATTCCTACCAGTACTCAAAGCCTTTGGGCAGGCAATTCTCATGCAGACGAGGAGCAAGATGAAAAAAAGGAAGAGTGGTATGAACTGCAAGACAAAAAATGCAAAAAGACCCAGCAAATTGCTTCTTTGGGCTGCTGAAAAAAATCAGCTTATTACAGTGCGGAGACTACTTTCTGAAAAGGCCACTCAGGTGAACACCAGGGATGAATACGAGTGTACCATTCTTCATCACACAGCCTACAGTGGACGCTTAGATATTAGCCGAGAGCTCATTGCACAGGGGGCAGATGTTCATGCAGTGACTGTGGATGGCTGGACGCCCCTGCACAGTGCTTTTAAGTGGAATAATACCAGAGTGGCTTCTTTCTGACTGCAGTATGATGCAGATGTCAATGCCCGAACAAAAGTCCTCCTGACCCCCTTGCATCTTGCTACTGGGAACAGAGACAGCAAGGATACCCTAGAACTCCTCCTGATGAAGTGTTATATCAAACCAGGGCTGAAAAACAACTTGGAAGAAAGTGCATTTGATATTGCCAGGAGGACAAGTATCTATCACTACCTCTTTGAAATTGTGGAAAGCTGTACAAATTCTTCACCTCAGTCTTAATAGTTCTAGTAATTTTCTTAAGTTTCTAAGCACCAGTGCCTCCTTTGTGTGAGATGTAAAGAATTCCCATAATCAAAGTTGACGTCAAACATCTTACTACAAAAATTCAGGGGTACTGGTTATAACTTCTTCCAAGTGAACTGCCTGACTTTGACGTCAAAATGTATTTGAAAGTTGTCTGCATATATCTTTAGTGATTTCTGTGGAGTTTGTGATTTTTATCAGAAATAATTTCAATGTGTGTATACTTAAAAACTTGACATGGGTTGTACAGAAACTGATATTTTTGATGCTGATCCAAGAGAAATGTATTTTTAAATATCCCATATCCTGGATCTTTGTTGAGTACTTAGTATATTGACATATTTTTATAAGGTGAGGTAACTCAGAACTTAATTTGAGTCTTAAATATTCTGATACAATTCACCCATTTTCTCTACCTTACCATAGCCAGTTGCTTTCATTTTAAAACAGAGCAAGTAACATATTAGTGACTTGAATCTTCATAAGTTAAAGAAAAAAAAAACACAAAAAACCTAGATCTTTTACAACGCAGACCATTTTTCAGGAAAGCAGTTAGCTGGGTGTTTGATTCATGAATATTGTATACTGCCTCCCCTACCATAATTTACACAGTCCCGTGGATATTCCTAGGTCACCCTGGTCACATGATCTTTATGCTAATGGAGAATCACCATGACCTCGCAGACATGCACACAACTATACCTTTGCCCAAGAGAGCATAACATATCTGCCATCCAACTGGTTTTACCTGCCTAATCCTACTGATTTGGGCACTGCTCATACAGTCTCTTGAGTTCACAGGAAACGTTGATTTTCTAAGGTCCTCATTTTTATAAACTACAAAGCCGAAGTGACAGAGGAAAAGGAATTCTGAGAGTAAGGGAATGATTATTATATTGAGGCTAAAACCACAAAGTGCCTCAGGCTTTAAAAAAAGAAACACTCTGGATAATGACAAAAAGCCTAAGTAAAAATATTTGAGAAACATAAAGTACAAGTTTTAAACAGACAAAGAATAAGTTCAATGGAAAATTATATATCCAATTACTATAATTTTCTTGAATCTGTATGAAACATCTATTGAAAGAAAATCTGAATATAAAGCTAGACATATTACAGTCCAGATAATACTGGTGAGCTGTCTTGACTTACAGATCTATACAGAAGGCAGTATGGGGATGTTGCTTTTTAATAACTAACTGGGGGTGGAGGACAGCTTTCCTTCAAGAAAACAAAACACTGAAAGACATAGAAAGGTGAGCTTCCATAATAGCAGCTCACACAATTGAAGTCTGAGCCTTGAATAAACAGCAAAATGCTGGCTGAGGCACTGGCCATAACAACGTACCAAGTACATCTTGTTAGAAGCCACAAATAAGATAGGAAGACTCATCTGAAAGGGCAAAACCCCAATGTTTTGTGTGATAAAGTACTACCTGATTAAATGCTCAATGATTCCTTAAAAACCGACTGCATTCCCCGCATAAGCCTTGCCCCGTGCTCAGTGCCTGAAGCCTGTGCTTTCTGGAAAATGCCCGGGAGAGGAGGACACTCACCCTGATCATCATCTCTCTCTCTATAATGCTGTCCTCCAGGGAGAACATTTCAGACACGGGTCTCTCCTTCACGGGCTCTTTTTTGACCCGCTCCTTCACGCTCGTCAGGTCGGGTTCAGAGATGGATGGACCGAGAGAGGCCCCGTTGACAGCCGACGGGTCGGCCCGGGACACGCTGATGGCCTTGGCCGGCCCGTGCCTCAGCACCCTGGCTCTGGCCATGGCGGGAGGAAGGCCGGCTTGGTCCTGCCTCAGCGCCCCATTGCTCACACTCTTCCTCGGGCCGGGGTACTCAGGCGGGGGCTTGTTGGGGATGCGGGCCAGGGCCGCCTGCAGCTGGGCGCTGTACTCTATCTTCTCCCGGAGCACGGGGATCTGGGGCACCGATTCTGGAGCCTCCTCCTCCTCCTCCTCGCTCTCGCTGCTGTGGATCAGCATGGTGGCATCAGAGAAGGTCTTCTTGTGGTGATACTGAGGGAGCTGGGGGACCTCGTGGCTGCCCGGCCCCTCCTCGGGGGGCCCCTGCTCCCGGAGCGTGTTGCGGCGCGCCATGGGGAGGTGGAGCGACTTGAGCGTCATGGCCTCCATGCCCCGCACCATGCTGTTCATCACCTCCAGGCTGTGGCGCTTGTTCGCCGGGCCGTGGTGCTTGGTGGCCGTGAGGGGCTCGCTCACCTCCTGGAGAGACTGATGCACCACTGGAGAGCTGTCCTCTTGGAACGTCTTCACCGAGAGCTGCACCTTGCGGGTCACCAGGTCCGGGCTGCTGCCGCTGACATACTTATGGCGGTGGCTGGCCAGGTCTGGAGTGCTGGTGGCAGGGCGTGGCCGTGGGTAGGGGGGCGGCGGCCTGAAGAGGTAGTTCTTGAGCATGTGGGCGGTGCTGTAGTTATGGGTGCCCTGCAGCTGCATGTTGGCCAGCTCCGGGGTGCTCACCGTGTGCAAGATGGCGCTTGCCCCCGGCTTGCTCGGCACCACGTGATTCTTTGGGTTCATCTGGTCGGATGGACTGAACAGTTTGTTGCTGTAGCCCCCCTGTGGCACATAAGGTACAGTGTAGGGGTGTCTCTCCCGCATCTCGGGTTGGCTGTACACCAGATCCTCTGGCTGGTTGTAGGCATGGGTGTTGATGATGTTGAGGTTTCTCAGAGACTGGCTCTGGCTGTCTGTATGCAGGATCCCCCTCTTCATCTGCCGCATGACTGTCTCATAATCGGGGGTCGGCCTGTAGGAGGGCACGATGATGGCGCTGTGCCGGTGGCTCGGGATGTAGTCGGCCCGCATGATGTCACTCCCAGGGATACTGAGGTTGGAGGACACGGGGGAGGCCTGGATGAAACTTTGCGAGCAGTTGAGGGAGTTGACGCTGTGAACGCTACACACGCTGCCATTGGTGACGGTGCCATTTAAATAATTTAAGTCCAGGCTGTTGTGAGAGTTGCAATACAGGGCTTCTTCATTCCCATGAAAAATGCTGTCTACAAGAAGTCAAGCAAAGGCACGTGAACCTCCACGCCATTCTGCCGCAACAATGTACATCCTATACTCATGAGGTAACTTTTAATTTAAATAAGTCATAAAAAATGAAATCCCATGGTCTCCACCAACATACTCTACAGAATAAAAAATACTATCTTGGATGAAATGCCAACATACAGAAAGAACACCTTAAAGCATACTGAAAGGAAAAAGCAAACCTAATCAAAGAAGGCATGCACACATTTGGAGTAAGTGTCACTTGGGGAAGTTCTCAGTTTTGTCATGAGCTTTGAAATCAGGCACCAACAATGGCCCTCCAACTGGGGAGACCTGTCCTCTTGTGCAGGGCTCAGCAACAGGACTCTGAATATTTAGACCAGGAAGTCAAGAACTTTAATAGGGCAATAGATTTCAGTTACTAAGGACTTAGAACTGCTCTTCCTGATGGCAATGGAAAAGGCCCCTTCACTCAGGGGACTGCTGGGCATTCTAAAGACACAAATCAAATGATGTAGCCAGGGTGTCAGCACAGCTAGTTGGTCCTGAGCAGCAACAGAGGGCACAATTAGAATCAAGAGTTCTTTTTGGCAATTCCTAAAATCCCCTCTAGATCTATTTCATCACTTAGGTCAATTCAAGTAAAAATTATAGTTTAAAGAGGTACCTAAAGAGATAAAAAGCAGATTTCTAAAATCAGGTCCATTCTAGGTGTCTGGTGTTCTCTTACACACACACACGCCCCCAGGAAGGCAATCTCTTGCCTTTCTGTAGCCAAGATATATTCATTTTCACACTACAGATTTAAGCATGAGCAAAACAGAGAAAGGTAAACTCAGAGAAGGTGAAAAACAGAAAAGGTGACTGAAAATAGTCAACTGAAGAGGAGGTGCATGGACAGAGATCTGATCAGATGAGACAGGCAGGACAAACAAGGGGACACAGAGACAAATGTGCTGCAATTTAGCCACCTCCCATGGGATTTGTCCCATAGAAATGTGGTAAATTTGCTAGTCTCCTTGTAAAAAGTACTATTTTATTAAATTAAACAGTCTCGATTGTCTTGGTTTTCATGCTCACACTTTCATACAGCAGAGGATTCAAAATGGCCAGGAGTTGATAACATAGAATGAATTAACCATTTACTATATTTCCAACATCCAAGGTTTTCTACCATCTCCTTTTTTTCAAATGCAGTTAGCATAATGATTATGTTACCAATTTTCATATCTAAGTTCCATCATTAATCTCTCTGTACCCCAATATGTCTATCTGGAAAACAGAAATAATAATAGTACCTATAGGTTTATTTGAAGGATCACATGAAACAATATATACCAAGTACTTAGAGCAGTACCATAATTACTCCATGAATGTTAGTTGTTACCATAAAGTCATTACTAGTAGAAGAAGCTTTTTCACACATTTTGCATGGGAGAAATTTTGGGAGAAAGAGAGGAATAAAACAGATTTACTTTAGTCTGAAAAGAAAAAAGCAAGTGTACCAAGAAAGGGGCTGGAGAACGAGGTGTGAAAAACAGCTAAGAGAAAAGGCTGACTTTGTGTATTTCTTCCAATTATTCTGCATGCCCGTGTTCTGTCACCATGAAAAGCAGAATGACTGCCGGGAGCTTTCTGATACTGGCAATGAAGGTGAAGTGCATTCACTTGAGCTGAGCTATCACACTCTCTTCTCTAAGCTCACTTAGGAAAGGGAGAAGAAAGAACTTGCTTGCTGCCTTGACCCCGACTCCCAGAGCAGCCAATACTGGGGAAGGTTTTTGATCAGAGGTAACTGATAGTTTAAGCCTTCTGCAAATTGAAGCCGTTAGATACTATCATTCAGACAATGACAAAGTTAAAAAGAAAGCATCCCTGTCTTCTTTTTTTTAAAAGTCTTCTTTACTGCTTACTGGTATTCAACTTTTTGTCTTAAGAAGGGAGAATGGCAAGCCAGTGTTACCTTGCGAGGTGTGCGTTTCCGAGTAGTGCTCACCACACTGCACGTGAACGGGAGGCAGGATGTACGGCTGCTGCCTGGGCTGAAACAGAGAACACAGAGGAGGTGGGGAGGCCTGGCCAGACCCGGCCAACAACTCACACGCCCGGCCCGGGCACACAGCAGTCCCGCCATGTCGTCAGGGAGGCTCATGGCAGCCGCTGTCCCTGTCACCCCTTTGACCCAGCCTTCTTCTACCCATCTACACTCTCATCTCATCACTAAGTTTGCGACTAGAGAAACGGTAAGGGAGAAATGAAGTTGGTTCAAGATCAGAAAGAGAAAGAAGTTACCATCAAAGATGGAATGTAACAATTTAGTATCTATGTTCTAATACACTTGCCAGGTTCTCTGTGCCTTTTTTCACAAGAAACTTAGAAAAGGTAAATTATTCAAGGTGGGAGGATTGACTGAGCTCGGGAGTTCAAGAACAACCTGGGCAATGTGGTGAAACCCCATCTCTACTAAAATACAAAAAACTTAGCCAGGCGTGGTGGTATGCACCTGTTGTCCCAGCTACTTGGGAGGTTGAGGTGTGAGAGTCATTGAGCCCAGGAGGCAGAGGTTGCAGTGAGCCAATATCACGCCACTGCACTCCAGCCTGGGAGACAGAGAGAAACTGTCTCCAAAAA